TGCTACCCCAGCCCTGGGCTCCCCCACCCAGCTCTGCCGGTGCCCCTCACTCCCGACCCGCAGCCCCCTTCCTATTCCAGCTGGGGGCTCCCCTCCATAGCTGTGCCAGGGCGCCTCACTTCTGGATTGTACTGCCCTGGGCTGTCCACGCCCCTGCCACACTGGGGTTAGTCCTCTGCTGAGCTGAAGCGGCACAACTGGGCTCAGACCAGCCCACTCAGTTTGCACGTGCTAGAAACCAGGACGTGGACCAGATCTCCAGAGTATTAACCCAGCGTGTTGTTAACCCCAGGTCAGACAATATGTAACACTCTGTAACCGTGGCCCAGGGGCACAGGGTTCCAGGTAATGGGGCTTTTTTTGTTCAAACAAAACTAAATGTGAGGCCTAAACTTCTTGAGGTTGTCTCTTCTTTAGGCAAAGAGGCCTGCTTGTTCCATTGTGTGGCCCACAGAGTCTGCTCACCCAGTACGTTCACAGGCCTCTTCCCCTTAGAGCAGCAGAGTTTAAATGTAGGACTATATTCTGTTGTCCTGTCCTGGGTCAGGTCCCTGTCTGTCCTGCTGCTGTTGGAGCTAAGAACTCACAGGGCTTGGTGCATTCCCCAGGAGAGGAGGAGTGGGCTTCTGGCTAATGCTCAGACTCCATGCGTGACCGTGAGCATATCACCTAATCGCTCTGTGCCTCGGTTTCTCCCATTTGTAAAACGGGGGTGGTAATCCTTCCTTTGGCTGTCTTGCCTGCTTAGACTGTGAGCTCCCTGAGGCAGGGGCAGTGCCCGGGCCCCCAGTCTAGGTGCTACAGCAGAACAACTAACAGATAATGTGTGTGTGTGACTGTCTTGCCATAACCACGCTGCCTTCAGTGTGCACATGCCCTGCTTTGGGGGGTTTCTGCAGAGATCCGACTCTGGGGCCTGGTCATTTTGTTATGGGAAAAGGATGGACAGTGCGTCTAGCACCTTTGTTTCTTACCCAGCATGTTACTTTCCCCCCCTCACCCTGCCAGAGCTGAAGGCTGGGCATAGTGGGACGTCTCATCTGAGTCTAGCTGCTCGTGGAGGTGGGTGTTTGCACGCTTTCTGCCTGGTCCGTCGTGTTAAAACAAAGCTGTTAATGGGGTTTGTGTCACTGACTGCACTGCGTGCTGCGGAAAACCCCGGTTCCTGTGACAAGGCACTCACAAACTCAACGGTACGCTGGCTGTCCGGGTGAAGTGTAGAAATCTGTCCCGTGTGGGCAAAAGTGGACTTGACACTAGTCTTTAAGTAGGGAGACCGCTCCCCCACCTCCTTTAACCCTTCCCCTAACTCTGCCCAGCCAGGTGGACTCTGACCGCCCCTTCCCACAGGCCGAGGCAAAGCCCGGCCAACTTAGCCCAAAGACAATGCAAGAAAATGAAACCTTTGCAATGGGCAGTGTCCTTTTCCCCTTAACCAACTGTGTGCTTCCACCCAGCCCCCTCCCCACCCCGCCCCTGCGAGAAGGGGGTGTGGGGAAGCCACACCAGCGTAGGACGTTTGGACGGGGGAGTTAGCGAGGAAGCTTCCAGTACCCCCAAGGGGGGAAACACCTTTCATTTCAAGCTGTTCAAATCCCAGTCAGTTGGGTCGAATGCTGTGTGGCTCTGACCGACTCCTCCCGAGTCAGGATTGCGACTTGTACTAAAACCCCTTGCCGAGGAGGTGTTTACAAACACAGAGAACACACTAGCCACTGGTCTTTTAGACCCTACAATAATGCCTTGTTCTGGGGCAGGAGTTAACATGCGGTGCCCTCCTCCTGCATTGACACCGGCGTGACCAGTGTGTCGGGGGCGCTGATGCCGTACGTAGCAGCCAGGACGGACGGGTGAACGGGACGGGGTTATGTTGTGGATTAGAAGTAGTTCCCTTGAATGACCTCAAGTTTGCTCCTGTTCTCTTCAGAACCCAGGGGGAAATCCCCACTTTCCAGGCCTTTTCAGTAAGCCCTGGAGCCTTTCCTGCTGCACTTGCATGTCCAAAGAGCAGTGGAGGTATCCTAGCATGTACGTCTTCTTGGCCTAACTGGAGGGGAGACAAACAGGCCTGATCGGTGACCATGTGACATTGGCCAGCGGTGTCCCAGAGGCCCTGTCGGAGGTGCCTAGCAAGGAGTGCTCCGCGATCCAGCCATGTGCCCCCCAGATGTGCCGGGAACCTCCCCTCATCCCAACTTGGGGTTTTGCAGTGCAGACAGCCCTCCCGCTTGGCCCCAAGCCCTGCACTCCCACCAGCTGGGGCCAGGGCCCATTCTCCCTTTGTGGCCTCACTCTGGGCAGCACTCCCCCTGCTGAAGAGCGGGGTTATTTGGCAGAGGGCAGGGAATCCTTGTGCTTCCCCACTCTCCACCTTTAATTAGCACGTACGTTTCATCTGGAGACTCTAGCGCTGCGTTCTGTACTCTGCCTGCTGAACGGAACCGACACACGCAGTGCTTGGCGTGTGCACCCAGGGCCTACGGAGCAGCGTGTGGGAGTCGGGGCTCCCTGAGAA